CAAAGCAAGGGTGTATTTGCTCGTGTCTTCCTATCCTTTATGGATACTATAGGCCTGATTCGTACCATGTAAATACGTTTAGTGTATGGAACGGTGGAGAGTGTGAGAGAGAGCCTGAAGGCCTTCGATCCATCAGCTCCGGTAACAATATAGAGGATCCGAACGATATTGTTCGTTCCCATTCTTTGCGTGAGTTTTGACGTGAAGCTTTTCTTCCAAATAGTCCGGGGCGTTAAGAGGGGCCTTCTTTGGGTGCGGCAGCTTCGTCAGACGCCGAAAGAGAAAGAAGGTTGACCAGAACACGTAGTTTGTCTCTTGTGGCGAAGAGGAGGAAGCATATTAGCATAGCGTAGCAGGGGCCAGGAATTCGTGATTTTGGAAGGTTGGAAGAGAGTGAGAGGCATATCTAAGGGCACAGGGGAAGGCGAACAGTCAGAGCTCTGAACAAACCCGTTGCACACAGCGCGCACGACATGGCGGGCACCCCTCCGTAACACGTTCGTTGGTGGATATCAGAACGATGCTCATTGGACCGATTTCTGCCAACAACCCCGGAGGGGCATTCACCACACGCCGGAAAGGTCGGTAGGCCTAGGCGGGGTGATACATGGACACTTTGGCCACTACGCAAGACGCGGAACGGAATATCAACTGATACCACGCCCTCCCCTCAGGATTGTCCCCCCCCCCTTCTCGCAAATCCTGTCTCTCGTTACTTACTCAGAGGCTGCTAACCATCCTAAATACTCCAGGGTTGATATCCGCTTTCAGGTGCCCATCACCCAACGCACAAACGACAGCGATCCCATGACACATTCAAGCACTGCCGACAAGCGAGAGCTCCCTCTACACGGTCAATCAAGCCTGTCTTGAGACTATGCCGTGATAAACAAGACGTTGTAAGAACATTAGACACAGCTACGATAGGAAAAGAAAGCATAAGAAAAAATCAAATCGGGCACGACGAAGGAGCACAGTCTAATACTATCGGGCGCGATTAAAGCGGCAAGAAACTCGCCGCTTGCGGGTCGAGTCAGATGTTCTCTCGCCGACTTCATGTTCGACCCGTGTTTGCCCTCACCGAGAAAGAGGATTGCCGACTTTCATAAAAGACACCTCTTCCCCGAACTAGTTGTCATCTTCTCCAAACCCCATATTGAACTTGTGAGCCTTCTTTGGCCTGCGTGCACCCTCTACTACAGTACATCTATTCCACCATCTGCCCCGTTTAGTTCAGTCCAGACCGAAGGAACTAGTGCTACAAACAAGCCTGCCTTCCCACCCCGTCAGCAGATTGATGTGTTGACCGTGGCCGAAGGTAAGATGGTCGGGAGTTCATCCAGTCATTCCGGTCTGCGAGTCGGTGGCACCGGCCGTGACCTTGCGCGAGCGGGAACCACCGCCACCACCGGGGCCGTGCAGCACCTGCCCTCCCCCTCCGACCCCCCGGTGCCCTGGCAAGCAGCGTCGACGCTCTCCCCCTCAGTCCTACGGAAAACGCCGTTCCCGGCGAACCAAACGGCAAGCCGCCTGGCTCGTACGCACTGAAAAAACAGAATACGCGGGGGTGAAGCACTTGCGGATGGAACGAAGGGAAGCCTAATTTGAGTCGGGGAAAATTGAAGTGTGCCGGGGTAGATTTCAATGCGGGCCCTTCAAGAAGGCTTGCACCCTCGTCGAGAACGGCGGAGCAATGCCTGAGACCATTGCAATATCTTACCTTGACAATAGGAACCATCAACGTTTGTTAGATTCGACGAATCCTTCTGCTGCAGATGTGCGAAGATAAAACAAGCGTGTGTGACGCTGGCACAAACAAGCAACGAGGCATGAATCAGAACACCCGACTGCGTACCGGAACACAGCTTGACGGCTCTCCAGCCTCACAAGGCCAGCCGGAGGAAAATCTTGTCTGTGTGGTGTCCCCGTCACAGCCTACGTACGTCGGGGAGCAGGAGGGATCAATGCCATAGACCGCTCCGGCACATAATCTGGGAGGAAGGGCGATATGCCAGCAACGTTCAAGAAACAAACCATCAACGTCAGGGATGGAATGATAAGGCCTCCGAGGCGAGCGATTCGGAGCTACTCCCAAAGATTAGACACTCATGCAGGGTCGGCGTACGACGAAAGTATTTCTATTTTCTACAATAATGACTGCCGCCCGGCGGTCGAACACATGAGTTGCGATACCCCCAAAATGATAAGTTCCAATACACGGTTTCGGATGAGGGGAGCGGGGGGGGGGGGGGTCACTCCTAGACGTTGTTTCGGTGGCAAGACGACCCGGCCAGAGACGGAGTTCTACGTTTTTTCTTTGGCTTTTGGCCGATGGCAACACATTACCAATCAGTCGACAGCGTTAATATCTACTTTCTTTTCTCTATGAGTCATCTTCTGCAGACAGGGGCAAGGGCTATGTGGAGTCGTTCATCTCTTCTGACATCGACCTTTCTTGCTCAGCTCCTTGGAGTGTTTCGTCGTGCTCACTTTTCCTCTTCCTCTTCCCTTGTACATACTCCCACCCAGCACGTTTCGGTCGCCAGCCAAAGCAGTACTGTAGTGTGTCTCTCTCTGTGGGTCCCTCTTTCCCCCGGGCTTCGTTCCAACTTTTCCTGAGGAAATGACGAATCCCAAGTACTTGTAGCTCTGCTTTTGTGTCGACTCTATGGCCGGTCGTCATCCTGGTACCTGACCTACTGCATTTCCAGCTCTGCTTCCTCGCTTGTCCTTCAAGTTAGAGGTGGAGACTGACATGGGTGGCATTTCCAGCCGCCGCACAACCTCCGCTTCCTCTACCAATGGCATCTTTGATCGAAACATCGATAAATATATTATACCGTTTGATCCTCGTACCTTGTCGGTGAATATCGCCTGTTTAGATCCAGCAGTCCCCTAGATAGTCCCAACAGCAGTCTTGAAGACGTTTTCGACGGGGGCACTACTCCTAACGTACGCACACTGGGAAAGTGTCGGTCCTCCTGCCCCGGTTCTGTTTATTCAACACTTCCGGTTTGTCCATGTGGGCGAGGGGGCCGAGGCACTCATTGTTTCAAGTTTTTATAGCGGGTACAGCAATCCAATGCTGACGGTATGTTGGCCACTCCACACCCGGCTTTGGAACCCGCACGTCCATGGCCTCACGGCCAGATCAAGACTCACCCTTTCTCTGCAGTAAACGTATCTGACTCTTCCATGTCGCCCGGGTGCCCACTGATGTACGACGATGCGCGCACGGGCAATGAATGTGGTAGGTTCAGACGGCGCCACCAAAGAACCGCTTATTTTTAGTGAGGCTCGATTCTTTTGCCTGAAGCCGAGCCCATGTTAATAATTTCCAAGTTCTCATTTGAGCAGGCATCTACCGAGGATAAACGTGCTTCTTGTTCCTATTTTTACACCGATTGTCCCAAGAGAGCAAACACAGCTTTTTCGGTGGACTTCAAGGTTACACCATGAATACAAAAGAGCGCTGAACACTAGCAGCATATCGGGGAACCCTCAATTCAAATGAACGTGAACGGATTCGGCTCGAGTGCGAAGACCGAGTTCATGTAAGCAGTTGCGGAACGTCCGTTGTACGACAAGGAGCGAGAAAAGTAAAGGAAGGTAGGTACAGGGAGATAGATGTTTGAGGCATGGAATTGCCAGGAGAATACGGTAGGTAGCTGGATAGGAAGCGGGTTGAAAAGGCGGGAAGTGATATCGGTAGGATAGATGGGTTAGGGAAGCACTCTAGAGCCACCGTTGGCAAAGAGTAGGAAAGAACGATTGGAACAATGCTGCTCCGTCCTTTCGAAGACGCGTGGTCAGTGGTCTAACGGCTAAGGCACGCAAAGCATGAATACGCCCCCCCCCCCTCCACCCCGATCCCGACCCGAATCTGAAAGTAACTGCAGATGTTAGGCTCACCCTCCACCATCCTGAGTGCTTGTCTTGCAGCCACCGTGTTTTGGGGCTCCGTTCTTGTCTGTAGGCGCAATGCTACACCACAAAGGCGGAGTCTTGTGCTTAGTACCACATCGGAACTGAGCACCTGTTCTTCTGGCCAAGCTCCAGCTCGTAACTTCTTTGATCGTAAGTGGTGGCGCGCTCAGTACGACAACATGACAGAAGTATGCATTTCTCTGCCTGCGGGCCGAAACGCGTGTTTGTGCTTTGCTCCAGAAATTTGGATTAATTCAACGACAAGAATCGAACGCCGAACACAAAAAGGATCACACAGACAAAAGTCGCTACAAGAGTTGATGATCTACGTTCTTCCTCTCGACCTCATGTTGCGCGTCTTTTCGGGCCAACCCGACTCTTTCTGCATTTCGGACTCCACAGGACGGTCCGATTCCGGCGTCATTCATATCTATTTCCAGTTCCTCCGCTATTCGCTATTGCATGGAACACGTGTATCGCTCCTCTCCCTCCCTTTCTCTTACGTACGTCATGAACGCCGCTCACTTCAATCTCCCCGCTCTCTGGATTTGGATCAGAGTTGCTTAGCTAGTTGCGTGGCACCACCAATCCTACCAGAATGCGACGCGAGTTCTCGAGGTCCTCTTCCTACTATTCCCGCGATGTCTCTCAACATCGCTGTTGCCTCTGACCGTGATACAACCGCCCATTTCCCTCCCTGTACCGATTGCATGATTGGTGCGCTACTTTCAAGCTCGGGGATCACATCTAGTAGGCCCAACAAAAGTTCCAGCTCTGCCTCCCTTCCACTCGATGTTCCCTTCCCACTGGATCCCTCGTTTTTCTCTCTGGTCACCACTGCTCCTTTCCTCTTCTGATTCGACTTGGACGCTCTGAACAACATTCAATGCTAGCTTCTGCGTTTCCTTGAAAAACTCGACACATCCCCTAGTGAGGTAAAATCCCGAATGGACTAGACCGGTATCTTAGGCCCAAAGCTCTGATGCACGACATAGCGGCAAGTACGAAAGGGCAATGCCCCCCCACGAAACCCAGCGCAATACGCTCGCCTGCACCTTATCGCTTCCCGCCACTAGCATGGGCACGGTCAGCGGTTTCCTTGCCACTGGCTTCGATTCCGACTTCGCGCGCACCCTTTCAATTGCCTTTCCCACCGCTACTACCCTAACGTGCGACGTTGGCAATGCCCACCCTACATGAAGCTTGTGGACGTACTCGATCGTCGCCAGGTATCCTCTCATCGTTTGGTTGTGATTCTTGGTTGTGATTATTATATACAAGACACCTTGACGCCATGAACACGGTCAGCTCTCACACCACTGCGCTATCGACGCCATCTTCTTCTCATAGCCACGGTCCCAAGTTTGCCTTGGCTCTCTCGTTTTTCCACGTGGTCCATATGCCACGGTACTCCTTCAAAGTGCTGGTGCTCAGTGATCCGTGAACCAAGAGGTCGACGATCAGCTCCCCTTCTGCGCTTGTTCCTCTCGTTCCATAGTCCACTCCTGTCCCTAAGTTGATCGGCAAGGTGGTGCAGCGGTTGGGTCTTTCCATTCGTTTAATCCTGTCTCTGTGAGGACCATTTCTAGCTTCCCTTTTCGCGTCCTCGTTAGACTCTCGTCATTGTTTCCCACGCCTGATCATCCATGCGTTTATTTGAGGTTCTCTCTCGCAACATCATTTCAATCAATTCCTGTCCCTGATCTCCGATATCTTGGTTCTTGCAGTCGTCATATTTGGTTAGATTCCGTACGTTTCTGTATAACCTCGTCTGTCTTCCACCTCGAGATTCCGTCCGTTAGAGTGTTCTGTCGTCCTGGAATATGTTTTTCCACGCGACACCTACCGCTCTCAATTCTCATTCGACCCATTCGCCTCATCAGCAAGCCTGCGCGTCTGTCTTTTGATCCCCAGGCATCTCTTCACCCATGATACCGCCGACACGCTGTCTCCTTTCAAAAGTGTCGCTTGCCCCGGATCGGTTGGGGTGTCCTTGATGATCATTTGCACTACCCAGCGCGACTATCTTCCCTAGCAGCTCCAGCGTGTTGATAGTGATAGCGCTCGTTTCGTTGGCTTGAGCCTTTCTCTTAAACTTGCTGGTGAACTCAGGTTTGAATTGATACCTCCAGAAAACCTTCAACTGCGGGCAGTAGCTTCAACACTTCAAAGTTAGCGTCATATGTGTATAGGCAGTATTCTACCGCGATGGTGTGCGTTGTACATGGTTGTAAAGGAGAAAGCGCTCAACGACTTTGTTCGTTTGGCCAGCTTGTGTTCGAGGGCCCGTCTCCAACAAAAATCTAGGTCACCATGAAACTCCCAACCCAGCCGTACTTGTCTCTTTTTTCTCGTCTGCCTACGGGCTGTATCGTGGAGGCTTGAGAGACCAAGGAGGTGCCAGACGAAATACTTCCCTGCGCTCTCATGACGTAGGTCAAGTTCCACAACTTTCCTGCGACATTCAGCACGTCTTGCACGCTCGCGTATCTTCTATAGCTCGGCCATTCGTTTTTTATCATGGGATTTATTGCTTCGGTCCTAACGCGCGTTGTGGCTATCGTCATCTTATGCGTATCAGTCGTGTGGCCGAGAAATCCACAGGGAGTGGTGTTTCAATCTATACTTTTCTTCGGCGCCAGGATCGGCGTAGTGCCCTTTTTTGCTACCCCAAGCAACCGACCGACTGTGATGCGGATGCAGTCAGTGCTGACTTGTCGTGCAAGGTGTGCTGTGCTCTGGTTAGCGCATAATCGTCCGCGTATACCCCGCACATGAACTCGTCATCGATCCCACCCACCGCCCGTGTACGGCTTTACGTTATCTTCTGAGGGCACTTGAGTCGGTAACCCTTGTTCCCATGGGTCCACCATATTTACGTGGGATATCATGTCGATCCCTTCGTCAAATAGTCGTAAGTGTTTCGGTGTGAATGCTCTCTTGCCGCGGCCATGACGCCCCAGAACCCGGGCGGACCTGTCCATCCGAACGTTCGTCTGACGCCAGCCACAAGGACATCGTCTATCAAACAGCTGAACTTTCGTGCGTCGTATGATGCTGTGTACTCTCTCTGTCACGTTTCTGTAGGCGTTGTTTACGGCTGCCGTGGAGCACAGGATGCTTTCGTCCGGCCGTTTTACTGTCAGTCGCGTTGTATGTCGGACAGGAACGCCGGCATCGTTTCTCCGCACACATAGTCGGGCACTTCTTCCGTCACAGTGTCCACGTTTACGCCTCCCGTTTTCCCCTGGCTTCACGTTAGGATTGGATGAGAAATCGTCGATGACCCTACGACCGCTCCATGGGTTGACACGCGAACCCCTCTCACTTGCGTCTGCTTTGTTCAACACGACGACGCTCTTTTTGGTCACACCGTCTGGTAGTTTTTCCCGTAATACTTGTTCCGTGTGGTCATCTAGCGTGCCTTGATTTCTATTGCAGCACCTTCCCTAGGTCCGAAAGAGTCATTATGCGTCTTTGCTGGTACTCCATTGTCTACGTGCGATGTTTAGCAGGTTCTCTACATCTATCTGGATAAATTATCTTCTAATATCCGAAGTGTTGCTTGAGTTCGCTCAACGTTAGCGGCGGTGGCACCGAGGTGCCGCCGATTTCTTTCGCAGCGTCTCTCAACATTCATTTGTTTGTTCTCAAAAGCTGACTACTCACTAGGTCGTGAATTATTCTTTGTTTTTTTTTTGTTTTGTTTTTTCTTCATATGACACAACGAATCCATCTCTATCATAGAAAAGACTCTGAGACAGATTAGCAATGAATTCATAGCGTCAGAAAGTACCTGTGTTTTTCTCTTCTCCACGTAGCTGTGTGCATTTATTCTCTCAAGGCGATCCTTCCGTTCTGTCCCATGTGCTAAATATACAGCTAGTGCCCGCACGTAACGGTCTGCGGACAAATAATTTCGATGTTGATCAATTTTGAACACAAACGCAAGAGTACCAGAAATTGCACAAGAGACATACAAGACCAGTCGGAAGGGATCGCGAAAAAAACAGAAATCGTCTACTCTCGCACAGGGCGGCAGTAGAGGCTGCTCAAAACATACATTTCACGCGCCTCCGCACGCCAGCTTTGAAAGCAAGATAAAAAATTCACACCATTGTAAGTTCAAGTCAAAAGAGCCAAAACAGAAGGCGCTCAAACAAGGTCAGTTTTGAGGGTAAGGTGGCGCATTCTACGGCCATCAGTAGAGGACACCATGAAGAGGCGTCATGCGTGCTGGTATGTTCAGGTTTGCAACTGGAGTTGAGATATCGAAGGTCGCAGGAGCCTCTGAAAACGGCCGAAATCTGCGCCTGAACCAAGCGACATGCAACATTTGTCACAGCTGTGTTCACCGCCACGGACCATAAACCCCTGAAAGGAGGTTTGTCAGCAGTAGGTGGTGGCATCAGCTACTGCTTCAAACCCGCGGTTCAGGAGATTGTGGTCAGTGGCGGCAAGCACGGCTGTGACAAATGTTGGATGCCCCATGGTTCCGGCGCAGATCTCGGACTGCTATCAGAGGCTGCTTGCGACCTTCGATATTTCAGCTCCAGTAGCAAACCTGAACGTACCAGCACGCACGACGCCTCTTCATGGTGTCCTCTACTGATGACCGTAGAATACGCCACCTCACCCTGGCGGGAGATTGTTTTCTTTCTTTGTGTAGGATTAAAGTATCGGAAAAAAGCCAGCGTCAAACCCCCTTTGTCTGGAGACCCTTAAGAACCTCTTGTAATATTGACCGAGACTGGGGTTCTTACAGTAGTTTTATGGTCATTCCACGAATGGCAACTATGTAGGTTTTGGTGTAGGGGTAACCGAGCTCACAATTGGTGGTCAAGTTCTTCGCAAGAAGAAACCAGCAAGCTGTCAATAGACACTGCGCCGTGTCCCCTGTGAAGGTTACATTTTACAATACACGACACAACGGAGGGTTTCTGCCCGATATTTTGTCGTTGACCCAGTAGAGAACTACAAGGGGATGTAATGTAAAATGTAAGTTACCTATACAGATGTTTTTGTACTTAGCACCAGCTGGCATCACTGGTATAAATCATCAGTGTATAGACTTTAAAAGACTCGAAATAAGTCCAGTACCCAGCCGGTTTCCCTTCACTCACTGAAAAGACTACACCACATCCCGTTCGACTGTGGGTATATCTCGAATGGGTAGTCTTTCTGTGTGTGTTTTTATTATTCCTTAATTTTGATTTTCTTTAGGCTGAATGTACATACAGTAGCTTGCAAAGAATGGATTGTGCACATGAAGAACAAGGAAAAGATGAATATTTTCCCGCCTTGTTCGCAATCAAAGAGATAATACTTAGGAGAGTCAAGGACGACTCTTCTCTCTCACTTGTTAAAATTATGCTCCACCGGGATTCTGGTGGCCTGCTGGCACTGCTGCAGCGTCTTGGGCGGCTGCAACGCCCGCGGCTCCTCCCCAACCCCCCTGACCATTTCCTGCTCCTCCTGGTCCTGCTCCTGCTCCTTCTCCTTGCTGCGGGGGTGGCGCGTGCGGCGCCCCAGGCAGCTGGGCCACTGCCAGCGGAGGACCCTGATGTTGACCCACCGCCGGTTGGCCCTGGCCGTTGTTGCTCATGATGCGTGTATGAGTCCGGCTCGAAGAATCGGTCAAGCAGCAGTGTTGAACAGCAGCAGAGCAGTGTTCCGCACCCGCACTCCGCACACATGGATGGTAGCAACGTTCTACCGCTTTTTTTATGGCGGGTGGACGCCTCCTTGACAATAGGAGGGGACATATGCACACATGGCTTCTGAAGATCGAACTGGTCCTACAGCAGTAGTGCCTACAGCAGTAGTGTATCTGGTGAACACGGTCACGGACAGCCGGATGGCTCAGCTAGGCCGGACGTAATCCAATCCAAGGAGTCTAGCGCACGGTGGAGCAGTTGTGTGAGTACCCATTGGCAGTGGTTTCGGGTGAAACGTCCAAGGCCTCTCACTATAATCTGGTCATCTCAAGTGTGGGCTTCAAAAGACACGTCATCATGCTTGAACTTGGCCGGTGCGCTGCACGAAAATACTCCGCCTTTGAGATCACGCTGGTCGCCTGTGCCCCTCTCTGCGAAGGGGAGAGTCTTCGTGATCGAAACCAACGCTTGGCTACCGGGGCTAATGCTGCTGTAGCGATGTAAGGTAGGCAGAGCAGTTTGGAGCGTGTGTGTTGGTGCCAAAATGCGATGGTGCGGTGTGTTCATGTGTGTACCTACCGTATATGACACAAGATAACACACCCCCTGGCCTGATTTTCAAAGCTTGATTACTCGATGACGAAGAGGATACATAAACGAAATGATACATTTTCGAAAACATCTCAACGAGACGGTTCCAACGCCGCCGTTTTCGGCGCTGTGAGTCTTCCTGCTGTTGAGAAATCGAGCTTTGAAAAACGGTCAAGGGGGTATGTTATCTTGTGTCATATACGGTATTTACCTGTACGTGACACCAGATACCACACCCCGTGCACCGATGTTCAAAGCTCGAGTGCTCCACGACGAAAAGGATGGGATATTGTACATAAAACAAATGATACGTCCTCGGCAAGCTCTCGGCGAGACGTTTCCAGCGCCGCCATTTTCGGCTCCATCACGCCTTCGTTGCTGTGGAATATGCGGGCTTTGAAATTTGGTCCAGGGGGTGCGATATCTTGTGCAAGCAAAGGCACTCATTGTGTACGATGTGGTGGTACGCGACCACAAGAAGAATGTTACGCGCCCTCTGCCTGCGGAGGGAACGGGTTTTCTCACCAAAGAACGAAGCGGATCTGGTGTGGAAGGGTCGGCCCGTGTTGTCGTTTGGTTTTGCAATGGCGAACTCCCGTGTACGCTATAATTACGGTAGGCGGCGCGTCTCGTTTTTTTTTCGAAAGTAAACAACCTCACAGAAAGACTACCCGTTCGAGATATAACCTCAGTCGCAAGGGATGTGGTGAAGTCTTCTCAGTAAGTGGATTGACACCGACTGGAGACTTGGCTTATTTTGAGTTTGTGTAAGCCTAACACTGAGTTATCAGTGATGCCAGTTGGTGCTAAGAACAAAAGCACATGTATACCGTATATGACACAAGATAACACACCCCGGTGATAACATTTTGGAGTTTGAAAATATTATCACCGGGTGTGGTATGCTGTGGGGGGTGTGTTATCTTGTGTACCCCGGGTGATAAAGTGCAGCTCGCAGGGGCCCCTAAGGGGGTGTGATAAAACAGGGGGTGTGCTAGCGCGTCCGAACACCCACAGCGTGTGTTTCGGGGCGTAGAGGTGTGCGCGGGCCCAAAGAAGGAGGTGACCTGCTGTGGCGCCTGCGCTGCTGCAGTCGAAGCAGTTGTCGAAGGAGCGGAGGTACTTGCGGCTGCATTCTGCTCTGCCTGCACGTTCATGTTGTTGGGGGTCTCCATGCGGGGTGTTTCCCCGCACACAGCTGACGTGGTTGTGTGTGTGATTGCCCAGGGCAGATGCTGTCACCCCGGTGATAAAGAAGGAGGGGCCCCGTGACTATATGCGGCGTAACTAAAAATATCACTGGGGTGTGTTATCTTATGTACCCCCGGTGATAAATCGATGGTTTGTCAGAAGCGCCCAAAACTATCACCGGGGTGTCGTATTCTGTGGGGGGGGTGTTTTCTTATGTAGGTGTGTTATCTTGTGTCATATACGGTAGGCGGATACATTCTTGATTGATGTAAAATGTGGCCTTCACAGGGAACATGGCGCAGTGTCGTTTGACAACTTGCTGTTTAGAATGTACGTCGCTGCTGTTTTAGGCGACTTTTAGGCGACTTGTAGGCGACTTTTTTTCTTCATGATTTGAGTTTTGAGACACTCCACGCTGAACCCGTATGATAGGTGCAGGGAGGTTTTCATGTTCACCACACACTCACAGAAATAGTAGAGCAGGTCCTGCCCTTGCTTGCTCAAGTCTAGGAAGGCAGTTGACGAAGGAAAAATAGTGTAACACGTCGGTACATCGTTGCAATACATTTTGCATCCAGCAGAAGAAAATATACTGGCGTGCATTCGACACCCATCATCCCCTTCCCAGTTGTTTTTCGGCATTCAGTAGAACCACATGCTCCACCATTCACGCCGACCTGCGCGATGCCCTAACCTAGTCTTTAAATATGGTTTATTTATGTTGGTGCTGTGCAGAATCCCGGTACTTGGTATTGGCGCGTGTGATACGAGTTGCTTGTTGCTAAAGCTGCGGTGAACCCCCTTCTCCCCGCCCTTATCGAGGGGCTTGAATCGATTGGCCCTGATCGGAAGACACGCCACCAACACCGCCAGGGTGGTCGTTCTGCGTGAATTATTGTTACGCGGCGGAGCCAACAGACTACGTGCGCATCCGCGTTGCAACATCCTCCCGTGGTCACAGTAGGCGATGAAAAACATACGCAAGCATTTTTCGATACTTTTTTCATCGACGACACCCCGTCCTCGTCTGAAAAATCGCATGGTTCATGGACCCAGCAGCGCTGGCGGTCCACCTTGTCCTGCAGCGTTCACGGGAACAAATTGAGGAGGGAGATAAGACCACAATCCGGGCGGATGTTGGATTCTCCCTTGACGAAGCTGGCGGGGAAGAGTCATGCCCGGGAGATAGGGGACACGGGGAAACACACCCAGAGGAGGCGGCCGAGGGACGAAACCGGATGGCGAGGAGGAGACTCGCACTCAGCAGAGGGGGGAGGTGAGGGTCCAGCATCCGAAAGGGGGTTATATCCTCTTGAGGGAGCTGGAAGAGAGATGGGGGACGCCCCCGGGGGGCAGGAGGGGGAGACGGCGAGGAAACGCCAGACGAAGCTGGCCGAGAGACGGCACTGCCCGACGAGGACAGTCGGCGGGAGCCATTGTCGGGTTGCGGTGAGGGGAAGGCGGTTGGGTTGGGTTTCGAGTGGCTGGAACAGAGTTGCATACCATACAACCCCCAGGAGAAAATAACGAACACAAACGTTTGCCGTGACAACACGGTCCATTGGATACCCCGGCTGTTGGAGGAAGGACGCGCTGAATACAAATCCACTGTTGCGCCGGTTTATGTATTTCGTAGATACGTCGTCATCCGTACACGCCAGCGGGGTGCGGGATACAGGTATGCGAACAAAGTGCGTTCCTGTTCGACGTGCTGCGCGTGGGGGCTGATCTCTCCGCAAGTAGTGTGTTTTCATACTGAATGTAGCAGTTCTCCAGACCTTCGAGTTGTCGCAACGGAGTTTTTGCCCGCAGCGAACAGCGAGACCCCCGCCCCCCCGCGCGTTGCTAAAACGTGGCCTCGTTGTAACGCGTAAACGACCTTTTCTGGTATCCAAAACACGTTGTATTTCAAGTATTGCATGCTTTATCATTCGATTTTTTCTGTCGTCGGATGGATTTCTCTCTTGGATGATTTCGCAGACGTTTGGGAGAAACGGTGGGCAAGCAGCGATGAAAGCGACGAATCGATAGACGGTATGGACGGCAGCGGGTTCGAGCGGGAAGGACAACGGGGCTTCTGCGAGTACGACGAGTCATCATGCATGTGCGTTTATGCGGTTGATACATTAGCACCCGTTCGTAGTGAGCCATCCGCCCCCATATTAAGTATGATCCGACCAGGGATATATCATCCTATTGAAATACTCGCAGAGCATCGTCGTCGACCGTCGACCGTCGACCATCGGCCGTCGTTTTCCTTGAAAAATACAACTGTCGTTGCTGTTTTATTTCTTTTTTTTTTCGGTTGATGTCTGACTTGGCCGCAGAGTCTTTAGCGGATATGAGTATTGTTGTAGTTGTTGTGTGACTCTTGGCCGATATGAGTACCGTCCGGACCATGTATAGACCATGATTCCAGGACCGGCCTCACCGCATTACGCGCCGGAGAGAACGGCAGTCCAGCAGGAAAGGTACACTGGAGGAGGTCCGTCAGCAGTATCAATCAGTCAATCAGTGCATGCAACAGCCAGTAGTAGTGCAGTACAGCAAAGCCCTACGCAGCACAATACGGCACAACCGCGAAGGCGTCTTGGTTATGCATATCACTCCACCCATTCCTTCAGCTGTGGCAGTGCGCAGATACCCAACGCATGTGAAGTGTGCAACTCAATAACAATGATGGGAAAACAGCTTTGTGCACGGCGGTTGACCAGCACACTCCGTTATTCACCCCGGCATGCATGGTACACTGCATACAGCACCCGCGAGGGTATGGCCACTAGCTTCCCACACGAGGCCTGACGCGGCAAAAAACAACCACACGAGTACACACGATGCATTCAACATTAACGATGGGTAAAAATCGTGATACGTCGAGCCATGGCGATCTTGCGACACTTTGACCACCCGTCTTACTTCGTCACCGCCGGGCATGTATGTAGTACCGAAGTATCATGCGTGGTTTGGTGAGGCCTTCAAGTTTTCTATTGTCTCGACCGTTCATTTGTGCCAGGGTTATTCCCTGCTCCGTGTATGCGCAGAAATGCGTGTTGGCTTTTTTCTTCGCTATGAACAACGCCTTTTGCTATACGTACACTCCAACACAGTAATAATTTTCATTTTACCGTCCAACCGTTTGTTTTACGACACCGGACGCAGGAGTGGTCATGTCGTTTTTCATGGCGGAGATGTCACCTTGTTGTTGTAGGTAATGGGGAGATCGGTTGAGGGGTTGCAAGTAGCATCGCACGGCGGCGAACCCTTGTCGTACTTCATCCGGATGATTGGACCGGAGGCGATGAAGAGTACCATCAGAGGGTAGACGTTCTCCAGAGTCTGCTGGGCATTAAATGCCACCTAGTTGTTGTAGTTAATGGGGGGATTGGTTGAGGGGTTGCCAGTAGCATCGCAAGCCGGCGAACTTTAATGCGCCGCAGACTCCGGAAAACGTCTACCCTCTGATGGTACTCTTTGTCGCCTCCGGTCCGATCATCCGGATGAAGTACGACAAGGGTTCGCCGCCGTGCGATGCTACTTCCAACCCCTCAACCGATCTCCCCATTAAGTACAACAACAAGGTGACACCTCATCTCAACCATGAAAACGGCATGATCCCGACCTTCTTCGCAGTCATCCAACCACACATGGCCGTTGAGGTCCACACACCGAGGATGGCGTTCAGATCCCTTGCGCCATCTCCATTGGCACCAAGGTGTGTACCATTGTTCACTTCACACGCAACTTTCGTCCTTCCCGTTGTATTATTTCTCTCCCTTTACACCACCTCCACCGCTTATGTTGCTCCTGCCATTTTCAATTCCTTTCCTTTCTTCACACCCAACCCATCTACAACCGCAATCCCCTTTGCTACATCTCTGCCTCTGTGATAAAACTGTGCCTACCTCCTCTTTTATCTACATTTTTCGTTCAACCTACGTGCACCATTGTACAACCCATTTACCATTCCTACGTTGAAGACTTGCCCCATGTCATCGTCCTGATCAACATTCATGGTCACTGGTTACGCCATAACTCTGCCTCTGTCCTTGTACTCTGTTTTTCGCCGTGCAGGCTCTCGAAGAGCCCCTTCTCTGTCAAGCTGTATCGGAGTTCGTTGCTTTGGACGTTGACCGTCAGATATCCCGTGCCTAGTACTTGATCGACAACCCTTTTATCACGGCAGTGGAAGAGAAGAAGTGGGGTGTTCAGGGTCGTTGGGGCTGCCATGTTGTTGCTCTCTCCTGCGACCCCTACGTCATCGACCGACTCAATGACAACCACAAGCCCGTACCGGACACCATCGACATATCCCCTATCCGCGACCCTTCGCCACAGGAGGCGGGAGACCTCATATGTCGCTAAATCCCGCAACCAATCAAAATCTCCCCCCACCCCTCCGTAACACGTTCGTTGGTGGGTATCAGCACGATGGCGCCAAGCAGGGATACGCTCCGCACGTGATGCACCCGTGGGCTGCGAAGGCTCAACATATCATTTATGCACTAGTGCCGACAAGAAGCGCACATCTTCGCCCAAATCCAAGGCCAGGGGCAAGAAACGCAAGGTCACTACTACCCCCCGCTCTAGTGCCCACGACGACACCGACGCCGACGCTGCCGACGACGTGATTGCCGAACAAGCTGGTCACCATCGACCGCAAAGATGACGACGAAGATGACCCCGACCAACCAGAGGACGAGGGGTAGGACGAGGACGCCATCGGGGATCATCCCGAAGACGGAGGGGAAGCTGTGGACACAACCTCGAACACCAACATCAACAGGAGGAGGAAGAGGATACCAACGAAGAGGAGGAAGGGCTGCCCGTGTTCCTTCTCGCACCGTCCTGATGCAGTGTTCACTTAGCTTCAGAGCAATTCACAAATGATTATTTCGTGTTGGTAGTTTTTTAGATTGTATCTCTTCAACGAGAGCCTGCCTGCGGTTTTGGTATGAATGGAACTTTTTCAGTGACTTTCGTTCGATTCGACATCGTAGGTGGGATCATACGGGGGGGGGGTTACCCTTCTCTTATGGGTCCGGACTCTGTGTATAATCTGGGAGTTGCGTGTTTAGCGAAAGTGCGTGCGTGGGGGACACGAGTAGACCCCGACGGGGCGACAGAGAGCGTGATTGCACTTGACGTGCGTCTTCTGCACATGTCCTTTTGACTTGTATTCCGTGCCATCATCGTCGGAACAACTCGAATCGGTTGTAATGATTGCCGATCTCGTTTTCGCAGGTGTGCCGAAAACACACCCTACGCACACAGGCTAGAACAAACACGCGCCATGCACGAAAATACGAAAATAAAAAAGCAAGGCTATCCGCTTGCAGAAGCGTGGTGGCTATCACCCACATGTACATGTATCAGAGACCCCTTCCCAGCCGTGAAACAGGCCGAGGTTCGTAAACATTAAGAAAGTCGCGAAGTCGCTCTTACTCAGGAGACCGGGTTACCGAACATGAGGCACTCAAGGGGCGGTGCCACGCAAATGTGCAGCGGACAAGACCAAGCTGTACTCCCTCGTACCGCTAAAAGAACCCGAGGGGTTGTTCGATGACTGTTTCCTCTGCCGACAGGCACCTCCGCACGAGTTGAAGCAGAGCACTATAGAGAAGGCCAGGAGGGACGGGGTGGGGACACACATCGATTCAAAGGCAACAAGCTTTGTCCTGTAGAACCTCTATTTGTTCCGAAAACTCCCCCGTATTGCCGAATGCTCACCACACTCCGGCAAGTGTCGGTAGCCCTTGGCGCGGTGATACATGACTAACCAAGACGCAGAACCTCAACTGCACCACGTCCTCCTTCCGGAACAGACGCTTGCCCCCCCCCCGCCTTCTCGCCAGTCCTTTAGGGTCTCTCGTTGCCTTCTCAGCAGCTGCCAACCATCCTATACAAGCCGTGGTTTCTACCCGTTCGCAGGTAAACACCACACATCACAAAACGACCAAGATTCCATCACACATTCAAGCCAGGCCGACTAACGTAGCTCCCCCTAAACCCTCAATCAAAACCTGTATTTAGACTACAGTGACATACAAGGGAAAATACTTCGAATATGCAACCGACACAGCTACGGCACGACGGAGGGGCACAGCAGTATCATCGGGTAAAAAATGAAACGGCACGGAAGTCGCTGCTTACGGGTAGAGTCGGATTTCCTCTCCCCGACTTCGTGCTCGACGGTGCTAACCGTACCGCTTCCCCGTGTTTGCCCTTACACCATCATTCTCAACACCAAACCGAAAAACACCAGCGGCGATTTCTTAAAAGCCACCTTTTCGCCAATCTAACGTCTTTGCCGTAACCATTTCGGCCTTGTTTGGCTTGCGTACATCCTCTACTAGATCTGTGCCATCATCTGCCCCCTTTGGTTCGGTCCCAACCACAATGTACAGTGCCACACACAAGCCTGCCTTCCCACCCCGTCAGCAGGGTGATGTGTCGACCGTGGTCTAAGGTGAGATGGCAGAGAATTCAATTTCTACGGCCTGCGAGTCAGCGGCGCCGGCCGTGACGTTGCGCGAGCGGGAAGCATCGCCGCTAGGGCTGGGCAGCACCTGCCCCCCTCCCGCCCCCACCGCCGCCCTGCCGAACAGCGTCGATGCCCTCATCCTCAGCTCTACGGAAAACGCCGTCCCGGCGGACCAACCCGCCGCCAGCCGCACGCCTCGCAAGGACTGTCAACAAACACGGGAGTGCATCATTTTTGCGGACAACGGAACCCTGATCCGTTGGCGAGGGATTGAGTTGTGTCGGCGAGGATCGTTCGAGAACCTGCTCCCTTCCCGGAGAACGGCCAAAAATGCCTGAGACTACAGTAGTACTGCGATATGATACCTCGGCAATAGGAAGCATCAGCGATCGTTAAAGACATCACAAATGTGTCTGCTACAGATGTGCTACAGATGTGTGAAGGAAAAACAAGCGCGTGTGACGCTGGCACACGCACGCCACAAGGCGTAAATCGGAACAGCCTACCGTGTACAGCTCGACGGCTGTCCATCCCCACAAGGCCAGACGGAGCGAAACGTTGTCAATGGTGTCCCCGTCGCAGCCGGCGTACGTCGGCGGGCGGGCGGGCGGGCGCGGGGGGGGGAGGGGTCAATGCCGTAGCCCGCTCAGGCGAAACATCTAGGAGGAAGGAGGACGACGTCCTGCAATATTCAACCACCAACGCCAGGGATCGATTGATAAATGCTCTCTGCCGCGAGCCACTCGGAGCAACTCCAACTCCTATACTCGACGCCTGATGCAAAGCATCGTCAGAAGCCTGAGCGCTCCGTCGTGTGAGGAAAGCTTTCTAAACAATGACTGCTGTCCGGTGGTGGAACACGTGAGCTGCGATATGCGCAATAGGACAAGTTCCATGTATCATCTCGGGGGTAGCCCTCAGGCGGAGGGATGGTGTCTGTGGAACCCTCGTCCAATCGAGGGAGCTTGTTTGTGCTCTGAGGAGTCCTCGTGTTACATAGTTTCCTCAGAGATGCAAGACCGTTGGTTGACACACCACACAGCTCTTCATTTATTCAGGACTGACCTCGACGGGGCAAGCCCCATGTTCATCGTCGAAGTCACGCCGCATCCTTCTTCATACACGTCACACGTGAACCCATCATATTCGACCTTGTAAACTGCCGCAATAGTTCTGTGTCCTACTTTATTCCACATGTCTTTCTACAAAGGGCAAACGACATTCCACAGTGAGAGTCAACTATGAACGGTACTCCGAGCCGTTGTTTCGGGGTGAGACGACCCAGGCACGGGGACGGGGGGTGGGGGTTCTAACGATGCGCCTGCTCCGCCCTTTTACCGATAGCCACACATCACCAACCAGTCGACCGCGTTTCATTTATGTGTTTTCTGCAGAGATGGCAAGGCCCATGTGGAGGTAGTATTTTATCTCTACTGGCATCTTCCCGGAAGCCTCCAGGCGATCCTTCGGCATCCGCCCTATGTGATTTCCGCCTCGCCGTGTTTGTAGTGCAAAATTTATCTCTCGTCCTCTTGTCTTGTACGTACACCCCCGCAACGTTTCTGTCTCCTGTAGACAACAGAGGTAGCGTGGGTGTGTCTGGGTGTTCCAATCTCCCTGGTTTCCTCACATATTTTTTGTTCGAGAAATCGTGATTCCCAAGCACTTCCAGGTTACCATTCATTCCATTCAGTTTTACATCCTGTTTGGAGTGTCTGCTCTTGGCTGGCACCTGGCCTACGTTTTAAACTGTCCACGTGAAGCGGGTGGAAACTCTGTATCAAGATGTACTCCGTTCCCTGATCCCGCCATCGATAAGATTTTCAGCTCCCTCACAACCCCCTGTCCCTCTACCTTTGGCAACCAAAACCCCGTCATGATTCAAGGGTCGAGTGAGCACCGTGTCGATGTGTCTGGCCTGTTTAGGTCCCTCTGGTCTTCTAAACAGTTCAACAGCGTCATTGAAGATCTTTTCCTACCGTACTATTCCTAAGGTACGCACACTGAGACTACGAACGTCGTTCCTCCTGTCCTCTTTGTATTCGTTCATGCAAAAGCTTCCGGCTTCTCCATGCGGGCGAGAGGTATGTGCGGGAGTGAGACACCTCGTGTCTTCAAGATTTAGAGCAGATCGTACAAGAGTTCGGGAGGAGGGAACCCCCTTGAAGTTGGTCGAAGCCGAACCGGCTACTACAGTAGTAAACAGCGCTTGGGGCAATCGTACTTGCGTCATTCTGTGGACGCGCCAGATAGAGCTCACCGAAGATGTCGCCAACGCCTGTCGCCTGGGCCGACGTCGCGACGCAAACTCCCGCAACTAGAGCTGATGCTTCCATAGCAACTGCAGTCTTCCGGTCGGGGTAAAAACTGCACGCACGGACGGAAAGAAGGAGCACGAAAACCATGCGGGAAGAAAGGGCGTAGTTGAAGCCTTTGTTTTTGCCCAAAAGTACGCCGCAGTTCCCCAACAGGGGGAAGAGCCATCACCATGCGAACGAATGTCCCATAGTGTATTGCAGTCTCGCTGCATCGCACAACACCAGCGAGCCAGCTTGAGAATCTACCTCATTTCCTCAAGCCAGGTCCCCCCCCCCCTCCCCCCCGCCCTGAACCGGAACTTCCGCGTGGAGAACAAGACAAGTTGCTTGCTGGACCACGCGCACCTTATCACAGCCAACAACAACAGCAACGACGACGACAACGACAACAACAACAACAACCCCGTCAACACACGCCGCGCGTCATGGCTTCGATCCCCCCCTCCTACGTGGCGTACCGTGAGAAGCATGCCATTGGCGTCATGTGGATCGAACGGTGCACGATCGGCATTTGATCGGTTTCAAGAAAGAGAGACAAGAAAGAGAGAGACACATAAACAACGCACGCACAGAGAGAGCGGGTAGCACGAGAAAAAGGGGGCGCGGGGGGGAGATAAATCATTGGTAGGGCCACCGCCTGTAAGAATGAGGCCGTGCATTCCGAGCTGTACGTGCCCCTGGATCAACAGCGGTCCATCCTTCCCCCTACGCGCTACCAGATACACAGGGGGGGGGGGGGGGACTTGTCTTCACTGAAATCGAGGGGCTCCGGCCGTACTGCTCCCCGTCTTCTAGTCCAACAGGCGACCCTTTCTTTGCCTCAAATTGCCGCATATGCTAGAACATCAAGCGTTGATCGGTTTCTCGTGCACACGCACCCCCTGCAGCGATGAAACTGCTGAGTACAGATGAAAGGCTGACGCACCCGACCTCACACGGCAGGCGCTGAAAGGATAACAACAGCAGGATAAGTGGTAGGAAGGCAATCGAGGCACACTCACTCACGATATCATGCGCGAAGAGGGGGGGGGGGGGTGTACTCATAGTCGTGCATGCCGTAGTCGTTAGACCATTGACCTCGCATCCCTACAAAGCCGGGACGGAGCACGCCGGGTTCTCACCGGACCAGGCTCTCACATCACCAAGCGCGAAGCGCCGTGAGGTATTCGGCGAGTCGCATGAAGGGTGCGCTGTATCCTGCTAAGGGTGTTCGGCATCTTGTGCTTACTTCCTTGCTTACGGATGACAGCTGCGTATGACTTAATTTATTTTCTGGTGCTTTCACTTCCAGAGACAGCTGTAAGCGCTGTGTAACTGCCTTAAGGGTGCTTGACCAATTTAACACAACGTGCGATCATACCTTTTGCGCGGAGTGAGGGTTCTCGACCCCGCCCAACATAATCTAC